AGTGGGTCTGAGCCGCTGGGCCGTGCTGTGGCTGGGATCCCGCGGGGTCCTCAAGGCCACGGGTGGCTCCAGCAGCGACGGCGCCGGAGTCCAGGGCTGGCTGGCTGCCTTGGCGCCCTTGGCCGCCGCGCTGGGCTTGGCCCTGCCGGGACTTGCCTTGTTCCGGGAGCTGGGCTCGTGGGGAGTCGCCAGGGACGCCGACAGCACCAGGCTGCTGCGCTGGGGAAGCCACTCCGAGGCCTTCGTCCTCAGTTATGCAGCAGCCCTGCCCGCAGTCGCCCTGTGGCACGAGCTTGGGCGCCTTTGGGTGCCCGGTGGTCAGGGGGGCCCCGGAGACGCCGTGCGTCGGCTTCTAGGCTTCCTGGGCTCGGAGATACGCCGCCTCCCGCTGATGCTGGTCCTGCTGGTCCTCTCCTGTCTTGGTAAGGGGGCGCAGGGCGAGAGGAGAGAACGCAAGGAAGCTGGGCAGGAATCAAAGGTAATGGCCAGTGAGGTAGAGCAGTGGGTTCTGGAAGTCGCGGATCAAGGGAAGGCATCTAGCTTGAGTCTTGCTGCGACCACTTTGGAGTAGAGCAAGAGCACTGAACTAGGGAGTCCAGAGCCCTGGGCTCCAGTCCTGCCCGAAGTCTTGCTTTCTTGGGCCACGGTGGGCAAGTCCTTTCCTCTGGGGTCGGCCATCCGCATCTCTAACAGGAGGTTTTTCCACTTCATGATTTCTGGTCTTAATTAAATCCCTGCAGGGTCTGGTGGGACAACCACAGGGTAGTGAGTCCCAGGGCAGTCTATTCGGGTTGGGGATTGGGATCCTGGTGTCTTCTTTCTGCTGCCGCCCTCCAGCAAAATGGTGAGGGGAGAGAGGGGCGGGGTGGGGACAGTCTGATTGGAACTGACCTACTTAGACTTAATAGTTGTGACTGACTGATCTCTTCTCTTTCTCCCCAGGGGAGATGGCTGTTCCGTTCTTCACCGGCCGCCTCACTGACTGGATCCTACAAGCTGGGACCACCACTGCCTTCACTCGAAACATAGCTCTCATGTCCTTTCTCACCATAGCCAGGTCTGGGGGCTGAGGACAGGAAACCCTGGAAGAGAGGAGTTGGAGGTTGGGGCTATTGTCCAAAGTGCACTTCTGTGGGGATGCCTGGGACCTTCTCTCAGTCCCCTGAACTCACCCCCAATCCTCCTTTTTCTGGTCTCCCTCTAGCGCAGTGCTGGAGTTCATGGGCGATGGGATCTATAACAGCACCATGGGCCGCATGCATAGCCACTTGCAGGGAGAGGTGTTTCGGGCTGTTCTGCGCCAGGAGACAGAATTTTTCCAACAGAACCAAACAGGTTTCTCATAGAACTTTCATTATACACACGTGTACTGTTTATATCCCCACATGCCTGCTTTTACATATAACCTTGATATCTCTTCACTCCTTTCATGCACACCCACACACCCATATATTGTTATTTCTTATTCTTGATATGCCTCAGAAGCAAAATATTTTCCTCTCTACCTTAGGAAAAACCTAGAGTTTTCATCTAGGATTTTCCTGTAAATCTACTCCTATGTATCCTTAGATAAAAGTTACAGAATTTTAAACCCGTTTGAGTTTAGGGAGTCTAACTGCCTCATTTTACAGAGAAGGAAACTGAGGCCTAGGCCCTAAATGCTGAAACGTGCATGGTCACATATGGCTAAGAGACAGACTTGTGGTTAGAGCCCCAGTCTCTTGCTTCCCAATGTGTGCTCATTATCGACTCCTGCACACTTTCCAGCAGCACCCTCCTTCTCCATCTCTGTCATATGGCCAGCTAAGCTCTTCCTGTCTCTGGATGTCATGGCATATACAGGTTCTTCAGGAAACAGAAAACTTTCAGAGAAATGGAAATTCACATGCCACATTAATTTCTTGATAGTTACAATGAAGGTCTTTGGCCAGGCCTTTGCTCTCTAACACTCATTCTCCCTGCACTGAGATTTGCAGACCTCCCCAAGTCCCTAACCTTGTTTGCCCCAGCCTCCTTAGAACCCCATGTTAACACACCACCCCTGGCGCCCTGGCTCATTGTTAGTTCGCCTCATCACTCTGTCTCATCAACTTCACTTTCTTCTCCCCAATCTTGGCAGGTGCCATCACATCTCGGGTGACAGAGGACACATTCACCCTGAGTGAGTCTCTGAGTGAGAAGCTGAGTCTCTTGCTGTGGTACCTGGTGCGAGGGCTGTGTCTCTTAGGGTTTATGCTCTGGGGGTCACTGCCCCTTACCATGGTCACCCTGGTTGCCCTGCCTCTGCTCTTACTTCTGCCGAAGAAGCTGGGAAAATGGTACCAGGTAAGTCCAGGGAGTTGGTTCAACCTACATAGACCCAAGTCTCCCCGACTTGGTGGACTCAGTTCCTCTCAGATTGCTTTCAGTCCTACTTTCTGGGTACCCAGAACTCCCTCTCCCTGTAGTCCATGTTTCCAGGACGCTCATCATTGATCTTCATATTCTCTGTGTTTTCCCTTCTAACTTCTGCCTACAATCTGTCTTTTAGAATATGACCCCCAGCCAGGTGCAGTGGCTGGTGCCTGTAATCCTAGCACCTGGAAGGCCGAGGCAGGAGGACTGCTTGAGCCCTGGAGTTCAAGACCAGGCTAGGCAACATAGTGAGACCTTGTCTCTAAAAAAAAAAAAAAAAAAAAAAAGCCTGGTGTGGTTACATGAGCCTGTAGTTCCAGCTATTTGGGAGGCTGAGGTGGGAGGATAGTCTGAGCTCAGGAGGTTGAGGCTGCAGTAAGTCATGATTGTGCCACTGCACCCCAGCCTGGGTGACAGAGTGAGACCTCAACACAAAACAAACAAACAAAACAAAACCAAAAAAACATGTCCTCCAACCCCCACTGTGAATCATTTTCTTCTTTCTTGTATTTATTTAGTATCCAGGGGGCATAGCTGTGTTACTTTCTCTTCTCTCCTTTTCCTCTATCTCTTCTCATCTTTAATTTCCAACTGGTAACTCAGGTATTAGTGCCCCTTATGATTTGTCATCCCTGTGTGATGTCTCTTGTCCATCTCTCCGTAGTCGCTGGAAGTGCAGGTGCGGGAAGCTCTGGCAAAGTCCAGCCAGGTGGCCATTGAAGCTCTGTCAGCCATGCCTACAGTCCGGAGCTTTGCCAATGAGGAGGGCGAGGCCCAGAAATTTAGGCAAAAGCTGCAAGAAATAAAGACACTCAACCAGAATGGGGCCCTGGTCTATGCAGTCAACCTCTGGACCACCAGTGTGAGCACCTGGAGATGAATGCCCATTCCCTTGTCCCCAGGATGCCTTGTTTCCATTCCCTTTCCTATGACCCTGCTTTCATTCCTCCTCCACTGGGAAATGGTTGGTTCAGTGTTTTCATCCTAGTAACTCGAGGCTCAGTAACTCTCTTCTCTGTGTTCTTAACGCCTCTCTCTTTTTAGTGATGCTATGTGGCTTCCTTTCACTATGGTACACAAAATCCATTCAACTATGTGGATTGGAGAGGTGCTATGTCTTCCAGTCCTAGGGCTTTCCTTTATCTCTCAGGGGAAGCTCAAGGGGTTATACATTTCTGTACCTGGGCCTGCTTCATGCTGTTACTGGCCAGATGTGCTAGTGAGAGCCATGGGAACAGAGGAAGCCAGGGATGAGGGGCATCTGTGATGCAATGGAAAGGGAACTGGAACTAGCATCCTGGCTTGATGCTGTCATTTATTAGCTCTGTGACTATGGGAAAGTAACTTACCTTCTCTGAAACTGTTTTCCCATTTTAAAAAAATAGGGATGATATAACCTCTATAGGGCTCTTGATATGAGTATTAGCTAACATCACTTTCATGAAAGCCTTTTGTGAAGAGTAAAATGCTCCCTAAACTAGGTGATAACGGTGATGCTGGTGAAGATATTGATGACTTCTATGATGTGTAGACAAAATGACTTCTATGATGTGTAGACAAATTGGGGTCCCCATGGCTCATTCGTTTTCCTACCTATTGAGCCAGCTGATGTTACTTGGGGCAGGGGGCAAGGGACTTTACATCTCCTTTATGCTAAGAACTATGGTTCTTCGTGTCTTCTTCAGATTTCTCTACCATAATCCCCCTTTCCTGTGGGTTTTCAACAGATTTCAGGGATGCTGCTGAAGGTGGGAATCTTATACATTGGTGGGAAGCTGGTGACCAGTGGGGCTGTAAGCAGTGGGAAACTTGTCACATTTGTTCTCTACCAGATCCAGTTCACCACAGCTGTTGAGGTGAGGTTCCTCCAGTTTCACCCTCGTGCTATTCCTTCCCCTGGTCCAGTACTTCTTGTGTGCTTTCCTTTCATTTTTTAACCCTCTGATGGCAAGCAGGTTAGGTCTCCGCACCTCCTTCTCACTATTCATACCTCCTTCTAGGGACTGCTGTATGCCTATCCCAGTGTACAGAAGGCTGTGGGCTCCTCGGAGAAGATATTTGAATACCTGGACCGCATCCCACACTGCCCACCCAGTGGTCTGTTGACTCCCTTAAACTTGAAGGGCCTTGTCCAGTTCCAAGATGTCTCTTTTGCTTACCCAAACCGCCCAGATATTTCTGTGCTACAGGTACAACCTACCAATCCCTGTATTCCACTGGCCCCACCCACAATTCTGCCATCCTAAATATTCTTCCTGCTGTTAGCCTGCTTAATACCAATCACAGATCTTTCCTAACCCTTTAATGACAATGATAAACATCATCTGTTCCTTAAATCTTTCCCAAACTCAAGAACCAGTTTGGGCTTTCAAGGAGAATGGGAGAAGAGGCTTCAAAGAGAAAGCCCTCCAAGGAATTGCTCAGCAAAATCTGTTTTTTCCGGTCTTTCATCTTTCCTTTTTCTTTCCATTTGTGATTTGGAATGTGCTTTTTCTGTTTCTTGGTGGTATCTGACATCAAGTGTGTGGCATAGTAGTGCTTGTTCTTCACCCTTGTCTTTGCCTTATCTTCCTTCTCTACTCCCTGGAGAAGCATCCCAGATGTGGGAAGGTAGGAGTTGCTGTATTTCCCCCATTTTTCTTTTTGGGTAAGACATCTTGCTATGTAACGATGTAACAGTCTCAAGGTTAGGGACTTTGGTCTGCCTCTTATGTGATTCTTTGGCCTCCAGGGGCTGACATTCACCCTACGTCCTGGTGAGGTGACGGCGCTGGTGGGACCCAATGGGTCTGGGAAGAGCACAGTGGCTGCCCTGCTGCAAAATCTGTACCAGCCCACAGGGGGACAGCTGCTGCTGGATGGGAAGTCCCTTCCCCAATATGAGCACCGCTACCTGCACAGCCAGGTATGCAAGAAGGTGGCGTGGGGGAGGGCAGGAGCATCACATAAGAAGAGCATTCTTGAAAAGGATTGGTGGTAGTGGGAAACTGCCAGGAGGTGGGGGCACACCTCATCAACAAGGGTACCTGCATAGTGAACATTTGTATACCTAACCCTGAATTGTACTCCACATCTTTAAAATTAAAAAAAAATTTTAAAAAGAAGAGCATTCTCACTGAGCCCTCTGAAAGGAAGACTGGATCCTGAATTGTATCCCACATCTTTAAAAAAGAAAAAAAAAAAAAGAAAAAGAAAGGAGGACTGGGGAGTAAGGAGAGACCTTGGGTAGAGCTGCATTGTGGTCAGGAGAGAAGGATTTTTGTAGTATGCTCTCATTAAAGATTTTGAGCCTTCAGTCTCTAGATAGCCATACCCCTGTGTTCCTTGTTCTTTGACTTTTCATCCTATTTTGTCTAGGTGGCTGCAGTGGGACAAGAACCACAGCTATTTGGAAGAAGTCTTCGAGAAAATATTGCTTATGGCCTGACCGAGAAGCCAACTATGGAGGAAATCACTGCTGCTGCAATAAAGTCTGGAGCCCATAGTTTCATCTCTGCACTCCCTCAGGGCTATGACACAGGTAATCTCCCCACTTGTCTCACCACTCAGATATCTTTATCTTTACTGAAGCCCAATAGTCTTGCCCTTCCTCTTCCATTCCTCCTGCCCCATGGACATCAATTTGAAGGTGTAAGGTCTTGCTCTTATGGCTTCTTCATCCTAACATCCTCAGAACTCTGTTCATCTTCCCAGAATTTCTTCTCTCCAGCCTTGGGGTGTGTGTGTATGTGTGTGTGTGTGTGTGTGTGTGTGTGTGTGTGTGTGTGTGTGTACACATATGTGGCTGTCCAATTCTCATCTTGGCTCTTGTCTCTGCAGAGGCAGGCGAGGCTGGGAGCCAGCTGTCAGGGGGTCAGCGACAGGCAGTGGCCTTGGCCCGGGCATTGATCCGGAAACCACGTGTACTCATCCTGGATGACGCCACCAGTGCCCTGGATGCAAATAACCAGTTACGGGTGAGAACCATCTTCTTAATGCCTATTTCCATCTAGTCTTGCTTCCTTTATTTATCTTGTGTTAGTTTTATTAACATCATAATTATACAAACCAGTCCTTGCAGCTCTCAGTTCCCATTAGCTTATTCCCAAGACACCTAGAACCAGCTAAAAGAGACTGTCTACAGATTCTGAATCCCTAAAGCCAAACATAGGGAAGATATCATCTTAATAATATTAATTAAGCCTGTACTATGTCCCAGACGTGCTACTGGGCCCTTCACATGCACTATCTCACTCATGTATTCACCATGGAGCCTTGTGAGCTGGGCATTGCTATCCTCATTCTACAGGTGACAAAATGGAGGCCAAGAGAGGTTGAATAACCGTGTGCTCACATAGCTGTTGAATAGTAGAGCCTGGACCCAAATTCAGGCCTTCCTGACTCGGATACTCATGCCCCTTACTACTAAGTTATATTTACTTAAAATCTAGTATAAAAGTTCCTAATCCATGGGTAGAAGGGAGATGGTCTTTACTCTTCTCTCACTGGTCTCCCCCATAGAACTCTGACTTTTACCCCACTTTTGTTCCCTCATGTAAATGGTCCCTAACAAAACAAAGATTTGGCAGAGAAGCACTCAGTACAGGCATCTTCGGTGTCCTTGGGGTGCTGGCAGAGCAGGCAGTGATCCTGGGGGGCCTGTCTCAGCCCTGGAGGCTCAAGAGTCTGCCTGGGCTGGGAGTGGCCCAGGCCTGACCGGGTCTATGTCTCTTCCCAGGTGGAGCAGCTCCTGTACGAAAGCCCCAAGTGGCACTCTTGCTCTGTGCTTCTCATCACTCAGCACCTTGGCTTGGTGGAGCAGGCTGACCACATCCTCTTTCTGGAAGGAGGCATTATCTGTGAGGCTGGAACCCACCAGCAGCTCATGGAGAATAGGGGGTGCTACTGGGACATGGTGCAGGCCAATGCAGGAGCTCCGGAATGAAAGACCTCACACTTGAGCACTGAGCATCTTCCTTGCATTTCTTCTTTTCGTGTGGAGAATTTAGGATCAAAGAGCTTACCAAGAGTTGCAGAGTAGGCAGCTGCTTCCAGGAAGAGTTACCTGAAATGTGCCATGAGTGTTGCCTCCTCTCCAAGCTCCTCTTGATAATGCAGACTTCCTAGAAGACAAACACAGGATTAAAATCCTTAGTGTAATCGAGTTTAGAGCAGAGTTGGTGCTTTGGTTGAACAGCACTATGAAAATGAGAAAGATTCAGAATGTACAGAGTGGAAAGCTATTTTAAATGTGTTCAAAGGCATATGCTGGTCCATAAACATCCTGTAGATTCTTGGTATTTATAATAAAATTGGTGTTTTGTACTGTGGTTTCTTTTGTTTCCAGGGCACCAAACGGCTGTCTTTTGCAGCGCACTTTCCCATAGCTTGGTGTCTCCCCGTTTAGCATCCTCAATGTTGTACAGCCCTAAGCTCACTGTCTTCTCCCTTAAGTTTTCTGTTTTCTCTGATTCCGCCTCCACTTCCCCATGCCCCACACCCGCTCCGAAGGATGAGCAAGGGCCCTTACAGTTGCAGCTCGGAGCCACAGGCCTTCCCGAGCTGGAAGATGGGGGGAGGGCGCCGTTAGAGCAAGTGCACGCGCGAGCGGATGGGTTGGCGCTCTCACCTCTCCCCAACTCGCGGGCTCGGTCCTTCGCGTCTCACTCTTCGAAGCGGCACCTGCGGGACGAGCTTAGTGGGCGGGATTGTCCAGCACTGTTCTCCCATTCAGGGAGGGCCGGGTGCGTGACGTCAACAGTTGCTGGGCAGATGAGGCCAACACAGGTTGCAAGAAGAGGCGGGGTCCAACTCCGCAGAGCTCTGCCTAGCCAGGAGCAATGCTAGGAGGGGCGGGCAGAAAGGGCACGCTCTTGTGGGTGGCTGCCTGATAAGGAGATCGTTAAAGGGGCTCCAGGAGGGACCGCATCGAAAGATTCAGAGGCTGCGCCCTCTCCTTGGCGCCCCCTTTCTCAACGCGCAGCGGGTCCAGTCTGCTGCGGTTGCTCCAGGACCTGTCGTTTGAACTCAGCGGCCCCTCGTACTCTCCTCCTGCTCTGTTTTTATAAAATTATGATCCTATGACCCCCTCACCCCCACCCCTACGTGAAAACGCTCCCAGCCCTGTGCTGCCTCCGGTTTCCTGGTTGACGCTGGCCTTTGGATGAAGCGATCCTACCCACTCCTTAGCCATTTCCAGAGGATGCCCGCCTGCAGGTGTCTCCCACCGGAACCCATCGCCAGGGACTTTCGAAGGCGCCCCCGCCCTTTCTTCAGACAGGCCATTACCCATCCTTTCCCCGACCCCCATAAAGGCAGAACAGAGCAGCCTGTCCCCAGTGCGATAGTCCCGGTTCGGACACCCATTGTCCTTTTCTCGGAAAGCGCAGGGGGATGTGGAAAAAAATTCTGGTTCCCTCCCCTGCGATCTGTGGCTTTCGCTTTCACTTCCTCCTCCAAGAGCCAACAGATTGATCTCCGGGTGCTGGGCGGCCATGGCGCTGCTGGACGTGTGCGGAGGCTCCCGAGGGCAGCGGCCGGCCTGGGCTCTCTCGGCTGCCGGAAGCGAGCATGGCTCGGACCTGGGACACTACAGTTTCTCCATGCGAGCTCCAGAGCTCGCCCTCCCGCGGGGAATGCAGGTCAGGGCTGTAAAGGGAACCCCAGGGATGTAGGGGTGGGGGGCGGTAGCAGAGGAGTGGAGGGTCTGCCTGGGATGCCGGGGCAGGGGCACGCGGAGGGGGCCAGCCTTCAGTCCAGGAGGGCGCAGCGCAGAGCCACGTGGGGATGGGGCCAACCTCAGGAAGTGCAGATTAGGGCAAAGAGTTAGAGGTGAGGGGTGAGTTGGAGGCTCTCATCAGAGAGAGCTTTCCTGCTCTTTCTCCACCACACACAAATCACGAAGCCTTTTCCATGCAGTTATCTTGTGATGTAGTGTCTTGAAAAAGTGTACGCACTTTGGCACCTAGCCTGGCTTCAGCAAGGCACTGTTGTGTGGCTTAGGACAAGTCACTGAGTCTAGGTTTCAAGCCCCTCTTCTTAAAATGAGCATATTGTTAATAAAAGGTGTTTTGTGCGGGTCAAGTGACACATAACGTTTTTAGTCCTGGTAACATTTGTTTTCATTCATTTTGATTGCGCTGAAAAATGGAAAAGGTTGGTGCCATGGTGCTGCATGCCTCTTCTTTTCCTTCTCCCAAGTGATTTCCTTCTTGAGATTGGTTATTAACTGTTCCATTTGTTGAGGTTTGGAAAATGTCTGCATACCTCCTCACCCTCAAACCCTCAAAACCTTTTCCTGGAGCCTCTCCAGTGCTTTTTGATCATTTCTCCTGCCAAAGGTGTTCACTGCCTCTCTCTTCCTTACTAGCCCACGGAATTCTTCCATGCCCTGGGTGGGGACGAAGAAAGGAACGTTCAGATTGAGATGGCCCATGGCACCACCACGCTTGCCTTCAAGTTCCAGCATGGAGTGATTGTGGCAGTGGATTCTCGCGCCTCAGCTGGCAATTACATTGGTATGTGGGCTCCAGCAGTTGGAATCTGGAAAGCCCGACCTCTCTCTTTAGGAGCCCAGCTCTGCCAAAGTGGAAGTGGATATTGATTTAGGACACATGGGGAGGACTGTGAGGTCATTCCTTCTCTCTCAAAACTCCATCTTCTTCCAGCCACCTTACGGGTGAACAAGGTGATTGAGATTAACCCTTACCTGCTTGGCACCATGTCTGGCTGTGCAGCAGACTGTCAGTACTGGGAGCGTCTGCTGGCCAAAGAGTGCAGGTAAATGAGGCCTCTCATCTCCCCTACTTAGTCTAGTGGTGGATCCTTGGATCTCACGGATCACTGCCCTTCACCCTTGACCCATGTGGTCCACCTTAGTGCTAATAGAATGCCTCACAAAACAGTCTTCTGGTGAGAAAAACCTTCTCCCAAATCTCAGCCTGTGCTCCTGCCCATAAGCCAGTCTGTCAGTTATTTGGCACTGACACTGTGAACCCTGGTAGGATAGTATCATTTACTAGACTTTCTTTATGTATTTTAGATATTTTAAATTCCAGGTCTTTCTGATCCTTAGGCCTTACAAAGAATCCCTCTCCAGTGCTTTTTGATCATTTCTGGCCCCATCAAGTGGGAGACAGCCAACCTTCTCCTGCCACCTCTAACCCCCCATTGTTTCCCTGTCCTCACCCAGGTTGTACTACCTGCGGAATGGGGAGCGCATCTCCGTGTCAGCAGCCTCCAAGCTGCTTTCCAACATGATGTGCCAGTACCGGGGCATGGGCCTCTCCATGGGCAGCATGATCTGTGGCTGGGACAAGAAGGTGGGTGCTCTCTACTTCCCACAATCCCCCACCGTGAGTAAGAGATGTACTCCTGCCTTTGGCCCTTCCAGATGTGTGATGCACAGAGCACTTGGCTGCAGAGCTGTTCCAGTGTGCCACGGAGCTATTTCTTGGTCCCGACGTGGACTGTTGTGTGTGTTCGCACCCTTTTGTTAAAATAGCTGATTTCAAGTTTGTTTTTGCTTTTTTATTGATAAAGTTCTCAGACTTTACCAACATGCTGTCCTAATTCAAATGTTCCTGTGTTAATATTCATTATTTTGCCCACTTTTCATGACTCACACTTGAACCTCCATTCATGTCACAACAGCTATGTCTCCGATTTCAACCTGGAACCTTCTTTCATCTTATAGGGTCCTGGACTCTACTATGTAGATGAAAATGGGACTCGACTCTCAGGAAATATGTTCTCCACTGGCAGTGGGAACACGTATGCCTACGGGGTCATGGACAGCGGCTATCGGCCCGATCTTACCCCTGAAGAGGCCTATGACCTTGGTCGCAGGGCTATTGTGCATGCTACCCACAGAGACAGCTATTCAGGAGGCGTTGTCAATAGTAAGAGACCAGTGTTCCCATCACCACGTCTGGGAGGGGTCAGGGAGGCCGATTTATGCCTGAGAGACTCAGGGGGGGGCAGAGTAGCAGGGAGGAGGTTTTTAGAGTTAGAAGAAGGACATTGAAGTCCTAGAAATATGGGTTTTGAGCTTGTGCATGTGTGTCAGTGCTGGCTTCAACGTGATGCCATTGACAGGGACTTGCTGAGGTGAAAGGTGAGTTCGTGCTCTTTTCTCGTTTGCCCACAGTGTACCACATGAAGGAAGATGGCTGGGTGAAGGTGGAATGTACAGACGTTAGCGACCTGCTGCACCAGTACCGGGAGGCCAATCAGTAATGGCGGCTGGCCATTCCCGGCCGGCCTCCTTGTGAGAGACTGGCTGACTCAAGGCCTGGAGCCAGACTTAGCCCCAGGAGGAGTGTCTGACTTGAACCAGAGATAGAGATGGTTCAGTGGCCAGTGGGAACTGGCAGAGTTCATCCTTATGTGTGTTCTCTACTTCAACAAGCATTTCCCCTGGGGAACCTTCTGGGGCCCCACCAAGTTCAATAAAAGAAAACGGTTATGCATGCCTTGTGTTGTGGCTGAGTGGGGTTGGGCTGCGGCTGTTGGGTGGTGCAGGAAATACTGAGAGGCTTTTCCTGGAGGAGGGACTCAAACTCCTATTTGAGAAATGGGCCCTCATCAAGCATTTCTTCCTGGGTTTTCCTTCCATACTCATCCCTCCAGGATCTCAGGAAGGCTGAGCATTGTCATCTGTGGACACCTATTTACAATTTCACCTAAGTTAGGGTCTTTTCTATAGAGAGACACCTAGAGATCCTGTGTGGTGCATTGCTAATGGTTTAGGTGACTGGGAGTTGGGCACCCAAAATAACTTTTTGACTGTATAGAGTAGGATGAAAAAGCCTCTACCTCACCCAAACACTTACCCCAAATAACACTTTGGAGATATTGGATATTGGGTATTGCATGTAAAGATGGACATTAGGCATCCAGCTTCACCATGTGTCAAACTGGATTGCAAGATGACAGGACTGTGGTCAAAGGGAAGAGGAGATAGGAAGGACACTGTCAAGTGGAGGATAGGAGGAAAAAGTGAAAGACCCAGGTTAGAAAAGAGAGACAGACAACAGGAGATTTTCTGAATCATGCTGGAACTATGAACCATGTCACCACCCAGAGAAGAGTTAAAGATAACAGATGCTTTAAAGTAGGAAGAAGCTGAACATCGAGCTTTTTTTTTTCATTAGGGAGAGATCCTCAAAGTCTTGGAATAAGTACAGTTGGGAAAATTATAGTGACCCCCTACTTCCAATTCTTCTTTTTTTTAAGTTTTAAGTGACTCACCGGTAGTCACACCAATACCATTTTTAAAAGGTGGTTTGGAATCCAAGTAATCCTCCCTTAGGAGATTTTTGTTTGTTTGGGAGATAGTTTCAGCCTGAAGAGTCATTTCTGGAATAAACAAATCTTCATGTCCCATAAGTGGACTCGGTCAGGTAGGCCCTTAGGAACCCGAATACTGTTCTAATCAGTGTGAAAAAAAAAAACAACAAAAAACCAAGAACCAAAGCTCGGTACCTGTCACTGCCCTCATATGCGGAAGGTGCTCCCATTGCAACTTGGAGTAGAAACTTAGGTGCATCTGAACATGTGCCCTGATCAAGATGCTCTGTTGAGAAGGACAGATGAAGATAAAGGCCCAGGGTCTCCTACATTCAAAAGACACTAAAACTGGAACTTGCATGCGGGGGGGGGTGGGGAGGCCCTTCTTAAAATAGGCTCAGAGCTTGAGGCATTAACTTTGAGAACATCCACTGGTTCTCCAATTACAAAATATCTTGAGACAGCTTTATTTTACTTACAATCAAACATGTTAGCAGTTTTATGTTACAGAGTCACCGCCGCTCAGGATCAGACTCATGTCGGGCCGGGCCGTGCGAGTCGGGGTTCGGGCTCGGGTTCAGGTTCCGCGTTCTGTGGGCCTCGCGCGCCCCCTGCCGGCCGCCCCGCCCCGAACCAGGCTCGGGAAGCGAAAGCGAAAGCGGCGCGAGCCCGGACGTCCTCAGCCCGAGAGCGTCACTGGCGGACCAGAGGGGCTGCGAAGTTGAGACGGAAGGAGCGGGCTTCAGAGCTCAGACCTCGGCGATTAACGGAAAGTCTCCGGGAACTGCAGTCCCGCCGCGGCGGCGGGTGAGTTGGTGCGGAGGGAGACGAGCAGCGCCAGGGGGTCGCAGCCCAACCCGCCGCCCGCCGCGTTTCTCGCCCCGCTGGACCCGGGCATGCGAGGGCGCAGAGCCGGGACTGCGGCGCTTTGGAGCTCCGCGGCGCAGGCGGGGATGGGGGAAAAGGGATTAAAAAAAAATTTTTTTTTTTTTTTTTAAGCACGAGGCTTTTGATGGTCACGCTCTTAGCTCCCCAAGACAGGCAGAAAGCCGTCTGTCGATGGAGGGATGTGCCCAGGGCATCTTTTAGAGTCGGATTGGATAAAATGAGAAGCTAATGGGTGGGGTGGGCGGATGCAGGGGTGGCAGGGGGACAGGGACAAGTATTGGACTCCGCCTCCGTAATTTCTCACCTTCTACCCACAGACAGCGCCATGCCGCGGCCTGATCTGCGACCCTGGGCCTCTCTGCTGCTAGCGGACGCAGCCTTACTTTGGCTTCTTCAGGGCACTCTGGGGGCTCTGCTTCCCCAAGGGCTTCCAGGACTATGGCTGGAGGGGATCCTGCGACTTGGGGGACTGTGGGGGTTGCTAAAGCTGGGAGGGCTGCTGGGATTTGTGGGGACCCTGCTGCCCACTCTCTGCCTGGCGACCCCCTTGTTTCTCTCCCTGAGAGCTCTGGTCTCAGGGTCCTTGAGTGCACCTCCAGTCAGAGTGGCTTCAGCCCTTTGGAGCTGGCTGCTGGTGGGGTATGGGGCTGCGGGGCTCAGCTGGGCACTGTGGGCTGTGCTGAACCCCTCTGGCGCCCAGGAGACGGAACAGGGCCAGAACAACAACAGGGACTTGATGTGGAGGTTGCTGAAGCTCTCCAGGCCAGACCTGCCTTACCTCAGTGCCGCCTTCTTCTTCCTTGTTCTTGCTGTTTTGGGTGAGTCAGGAGAGAGCATGGTGAGTGGGAAGTGGTAAGAGGGCCTGGGCACGAGTACATTTCTGTGTTATGTTTCGTGCCTCTTTCAGGTGAGACACTCATCCCTCACTATTCTGGCCGAGTGATTGACATCCTGGGAGGGGATTTTGACCCCGATGCCTTTGCCAGCGCCATCTTTTGCATGTGCCTCTTCTCCATTGGGAGGTAGGTGATGGGCACTTGGGTCCGTTTGCCATATCGTTCCCCAGGCCTTCCCTTCCCTAACTCCATTTTCAAGCCCTTTTGTGCACAGAGCACAAAATACTTAAACTAAGATATGATGAGTTTATTCACCACTGTTCCATCTATCCATTCACTTCTTCCTTCATTCATAGTTAGCCAACAGCTTCCAAGTTTGCCTTTCACTATTGTAGGTACAAGTGTGAGTCAGTATAGTACAAAAAGAGTTTATGTGTCCAGTGGAATGCCTCTCAGTTGCTTGTCAATGTTTTAGCTCCGTGCGATTCCATTTCTCCTTTCTACCTCCTACTTCCCACCCCTAAGGCTGTCTCCAAAGTCATCCTCTGGTCTAATTCACTCTGCCAGTCCCTGAATAGCTTACTGCGAGGCTTATCACCTTTCTTTCCAGGATCTGTCCTTTCTCCTTCACTTGCTTTCCCTCTTTTTAGATATTCTCAGATATGCCATCTCAAAACAAAACAAACAAACAAACAGACTGTTTGGTAGGGCCAGGACTGGGATGGGGTAAGTGAGGCACCTAGGAGATACATACACACACACACGCACACACACATTTTTAATTGGGGGTCTCAGTCTGTTGCCCAGTCTGGAGTGCAGTGGCATGATCACAGCTCACTGCAACCTCGATTCCCTGGGCTCAGGCGATCCTTCCACCTCAGCCTCCATGCACCTCTACATCCAGTTAATTTTTATTTTTATGGGGAAGAGGTGTTGCTATGCTGCCTGGGCTAGTCTTGAACTCCTGAGCACAAGTAGTCCCCCATCTCAGCCTCACCAAGTGTTGGGATTGCAGGTGTGAGCCACCACGCCCAGCAAGGGTGCAAAATTTAAAGAGATGCTCACTCACTTTACCCCAATCTCAGCCAACCTGCTACTGCTCCTTTTTAAAAAAAATGGTCCTATTTCATTTCTTCATACCCTTAAACACCATTTCTTCTTTATGCCTTCATTCTGTGCTTACTACTTTGTCCTGAAACTAGCTACAGTCATGCACTGTATAACAAAAGTTTTGATCAGTGATGGACCCCATGTAAGATGGACTCTATAAAATTATAATAGGGGAGGGGGAGGAAGGAGGCCATGACAGACCAGGTGCCCGGAGGGACAACACCGAGGGAGGCCAGGACAGAAGCAAGCACTGCGGTATCTGTGTTCATAGTGTCTTTTCACATCTACTGTAGTCTTCCCTGTGTCTAGCACAGAGTGTACCCCATAAATGCTCATGAATTTGTACAAGTTATGATTTTGTTCCCATAATTAGCTCAACATGTCTTCCCTTTCTCCCCCTCTTCTTCCTCCTTCTCCTTCTTCTTCTTTTAGATTGGAAAATAGTTTATTTTAAAAAGTAAATTAGAGAGAGAGAGACAGAAGATTCGCCTCCCCAGGGTAGGGGAGGGGGCCAAACCTAGGAAACATGGCGGCCATAGTTCAAAGAGCCACGTGGACACACCAGAGTTTAACAAAGCAATGGCCCCTTTCGTCTTCTCCTGCTTATTCCTGTGCCTCTTCTCCCCCCCATCTTTCTGACTCTATGTCTTGTGTCTCTCTCATTTCTTTGTTTTTTGCCTGTCATGGTGTGTTTTCCTTAACTTTGCTTCTCTCTTCACTCTGGGCTTGCTCCTTGGCTTCTGTCACCCACTCGTTCCTTCCCTGTATCTTCCTCTTCCCTCATCCTCCGAATGTCTCCTCCTACCCCACAGCTCTCTGTCTGCAGGATGCAGAGGAGGCTTCTTCATGTACACCATGTCCAGAATCAACTTGCGGATCCGGGAGCAGCTTTTCTCCTCCCTGTTGCACCAGGACCTCGGTTTCTTCCAGGAGACTAAGACAGGTGGGGCCCAGAGTCCAGGTTTGGATTCCCTGGTACATTTTTTGCCCTTCAGTGACCCTTCACCCGCAGCCTCTCTTTCTACCTTTATCCATGTGCCAGGGCCTGGGGTTGCTTTTCTCTGTCTTGGGACAGAGTGGAGATGCAGCCTCCACCATCTCTATGCAAGTGAGGGAGGATGTTCAGAGGAGGGACTGTGTCATAAGGGACAGCCAGGAGGGAGTTTTGGGGGGCTCTGCAGTATACATGGTTTCCTCACCTGTCTGTCCTCCTTAGGGGAGCTGAACTCACGGCTGAGCTCAGATACCACCCTGATGAGCAGCTGGCTTCCCCTTAATGCCAACATACTCTTGCGAAGCCTGGTGAAAGTGGTGGGGTTGTACAGCTTCATGCTCAGCATATCGCCTCGACTCACCCTCCTCTCTCTGCTCGACGTGCCCCTTGCAATAGCAGCCGAGAAGGTGTACAATGCCCGCCATCAGGTATGTGTGAATGTCAGGAAATTCCGAGGGTAGATAAAACTTAGAAGTGAGGAGGATACCACATTTGTAGTTGAATGATCTCCTAGAGAGAGATGTTCTCTTCTCAGCGTTTAGAACAGGAGGTATATTGCATGTATGTACATTTTGCTTATCTAGTACATTTTGCTTATCAACGAACATTAGAGTTCAGAAGGTCTATGACCCCCTAGAACTGTAAGCAAAAATGTTTGTGTGTGTGAGAGTTGGGGGGAAGCAGGGGAGCATTTTTCTGGGGAGACGATAACTTCTTCTCATCATCTTCTCAAAGGAGTCTGTACATATTCTTTCCACAAAATGTTAAAAATAATATTTAGAACTGGGCATGGTGACTCAAGCCTGTAATCCCAGCACCTTGGGAGGCTGAGGTGAGAGGATTGCCTGAGCCCAGGGGTTCAAGACCA